AAGTTTTACGAGACAGAGAGAGACCTTAACGGGAATCCTTGCTTACTTAATTTTTTTCAGTAAACAGGACAAGACAAAGATCTGAATTATAAAACTGTACTAGTTCATTTAGCATTTAAACTCCACAAATATGTTGCTAAAATATGGAACACCATAACTAACCTGAAAGACCAGGAAGTTTCTGGCCTTGATGAGAATTCCCAGTTTCTCAAGTGCCTCGCTGTAGTCAGGCAGGCCCACCACTTTATTATTAATGCGATACTCTGATGATGAACCTGTCAGAGGGCAGGAGGGAGAAAAAGAGAAGTACAGTAAAAGTCTCCACATGCAAGAAAGGAAACAGACAAAAAAAGAATATTTTAAACAATATTTGTAATGAAATCTACAGCAGCAGGGGGCAATGCATGTCATCGTTATATATCATAAATTTTCACAAAGGTTTTTGTACCTTAAAAGTAACTTTTTCCCATCACAAATGTTTTTGATTCCTGAGTCATGTGTATGAGTTATCGAATTCACTCCTGTATTATTTTAATCTCCCTCTTGAAGACTGTCATATCGCACCATTTTTAAGCATATAAACGACTTCCTCTGAGCACTATCCAGGCTAAAGTAAAGCCTCGGCATGAAACATTGCATATCGAGAAAACATCTTCACCTTAGGGCTGGGCAAATGTGATTTTCATCGCTACTGTGATAAATTACATGCATCTTTGCCTGTTTGGTTTGATTTACTGCAGAGCATTAAACATTGAATAAAATAATTTGCATCCACTATTTTTACCCATCACCACTGGTTCGTTTTGGTCTGTTACAACTTATCACTTCTCAGAAAAATTAAGTATCATGACATATTGTGCATCATGAAAATTTCTTGAAATACCATGACACTATATTTTTGCCATATTGCCCACCCCTGATTTAATGAGTATTATCATACCTATAATGACTCTGGTGAAGTTGCGTTCCTCGCCGTTGTCCTCCTGGTACACCATGCTGACGTACGCACGATTAGCTGCTGGCTTACCAACAGGAGCGCCATGAATCAGGTCTTTCAGTGTTTTCACACGCAGGTTGCTGGTCTTCTCTGCCAGGACGAAGCTGATGGCATCCATAAGGTTAGACTTGCCTAAAAAGAACAGTGAATATGTATTATTAAGGAAATGTGCAGCACAGTTAGCACATTACCACTTTATTATTAACATGCAATTCACAAAAAAAATATTTTTAGTTTATTTACAGTTGACAATTTCATACAGTAGACGTTCCTGCCAGTACCAAGTACTAACTTTGATGAGAAGCGAGTTCTATGAGATAAATAAATTTTTTCCTGTTCTTTTCCCTAAACAGCTAAAAACAAGTCTGCATGTGCTGGCTTATTCTTATTATTTTTGCCCCTCCTAATGTTAACCCACCAATGAAAAATTCTATTACACCTTTAAATAACCGTGCACCCACATCAGAAAGAGCTTTCAAGTTTTAAACTCTCTAACAAGGGGACTTCCACCATTTATTTTCAAGTTTTTTGCACAATTCAATTGTTGACAGGTAAACAAACTTAGCTGTACATGCAGAATGTAAGGCAAAATGATCCCCAAAGAAAACATATTCTTTCAGATTTTCCACTATTTTACCATCATCCACATTACATATAAACATCCAGAAGACAAGTGTAAGTTTACTGGTGGTTTTGGATAAGAAAAAAAAAGGCTATCTGTGTGTTGTAGTCATGGCGACCCCTGGTTCCTATCACCACCACTGTAAAGAACATCTGTGTTGGCAAGTTCTTTCACATCAAATCAGTCTGAATGACTTTGTTTATATCTTAACCACTGAATTACAGAGAAAATTTGAAAAATCGGTGGATTTCCCCTCTAGCACAGAAACCAGACCATGTCCTCCTACATAATAATGTTAAGCCGGAGTAGCTCTCTCTAATGGGACAGGGGCTTCATAACCACTCCAGACTTTCAGACTAAAACGATTTAGCACATGGAAGATGTGACACAGAAGACTGTAGACACTTGCACGAGACTGAAGTTGGCTTCTTATTCGTATTTCCAGTTCACCTTAAGAGATACCGCAGTTATTATAATAACGCTTAAGGCGCCACAATGAAAGCGCTAACCATTTAAGGTGGAACGGGAAAATAAGAGCTGGCGAATAGGAAGCTAACTTCAACCAGGTCATGAAATAGTTCTGTACATAACTCATGGTTCTAAACACAAACACTGCCTTTGCTAGAGAACCCGTTTCAAGAGTGTAGTTAGCTCTCTGTTTTGAAAAAAGACTTGTTGTCATACACCGTTAGCTAGCTAGCTTTAGCACTTTCCTACCTGATCCATTCGGTCCGATGATCGCAGTGAACTTGTGGAAAGGGCCGATTATCTGTCTCCCTTTGTAGGATTTGAAGTTTTCGATCTCGATTAATTTTAGATAGCCCATTTTAACTGATGTAAAAATGCAAACAAATAAAGAGAGAAACAGAATTCGGGGTTTTAGCTAACGTTAGTTAGCGCTAGCTAAGCTAGCACAACAGCAGTGCGCAAAAGCAAAATCCCGTGCAGCCCCTCCAGCGGCGAAAACAGACAAAAATACGTCATAAGCCGAAACAAATGCCAAATAAATTTGCAAGGTTACATATAATTTTCGAATATGTATTTCTCCGGGTCCCACTGCGCTGTATTTCGGGCTTAAAGCCCTGCAGCTAAACGTTCAGTGCTGCGCGGGACCCCAAATCCCGTAAAATCTCGCGAGATTGGACCAGAAAACACACGCGGGTAAAAACATATAATAAATTCTAGGGGGTTGAAGCCCATTTCCTCCACACGAAAACTAACTATTAAAAAAACAAAACAAAAAATTAATACGTTTATATGTGTATGTATATATATATATATATATATATATATATATATATATATATATATATATATATATGTATGTATGTGTGTGTGTGTGTGTGTGTGTGTGTGTAGGCGACAAACAAATTATAACGGAGAATGTTGTATATAGTGCTATATAGAACCCTTTTCAAAAAGGTTCTATATAGGACCATATACAACACATTAACCATCAGTGTGAACATCCATCCTTGAAGCTCCATCTTTTTTAAGAGTGTAGCAGTAGCAGCAGTAGTTTATTCAGTATAGGTTTGAAATAGGGCAGGTCAATGTGACAATATTGTACTGTGATGAATTACATCTCAATGCAGTTTTCTGAGTATATCGTGCATATTATAAGTTCTTAAAAAACTGTCCAGTTGCATGCTTCATAAAAAAGAGAGCATGGTTAGTCACATTTTCTTGGATTTATCGCAGCACAGTGTGTGAAGCATTAAGCAAAAGTCATTGTATGCTGTATTTGAAAGTATTTTTAAAAATATTTCATTTTTTTCAGAAAAATGAAATATCATAATACATATTGTGAAAATGTCATCAAATACAGTGATATTATATTTCTGCTATGAGTTTATCGCGTTATAGCCTGTAGTTGGACTCCTACGTCCTACGTAGATTGCGGAGCTGCTTGTGTCCGGTAGGGGTCGCTCCTCACTGCTGCCCCGCCTGCTCTGCTGCTCTGCACTGGAAAGGGGTCGTGCCGAGGCTCAGCTGCAGGTTCCTGGAAAGCTTCGTGTGTCGCTCATCCTGCCAGAACAAATCCGGGAAAATTCCAGGTTTAAGCCCGTGACGTGAGGCTGACTTAATTTACAAGTAATTAGGGGAACCAACCACTCGAGGCCTTCACTGTAAAGCCTGCTGGACAGAGGACATAGAGTCAGGAGATCCAAGAACGTCTGATTGAGCCTGATTTTGAAACCAAATTATGCTGCGAAGAAAATTATTTGTATATATTTATATTAAATTAATTTATATCTAATACGTCTTTTTCATAATTTTAATATGAAACGATATAATATATAATATAATCAGGAAATAATGTACATTTATAAGTAATCTTTAGAAGGACTACAGTCGTGCGCAAAAGTTTGGGTACCCAGGTCAGATTACATGTTTTGTTAGTGAAAATAAGTTAACACACATTTTTGTAAGACAATTGCTGTCTACTTACCGGAAACAACATATTGTATGCGAAACATATAATGTGAACATATATATATATATATATATATATATATATATATATATATATATATGTATATATATATATATATACATATATATATATACATATATGTGTGTGTGTGTGTGTGTAACTTTATATGTGTACACATAAAACACAAATAAATTCACATACATACATATGTGTATATATATATATATATATATATATATATATATATATATATGTATATATATACACACATATATACACATAAATACATTCATATATGTATAGAGAGATAGATAGATAGATAGATAGATAGATATATGTGTATGTGTAGAGGGAGGTATGCTAATCCAAATAATTTAAAAGCGTTTCTCCGGACAATAACTGTGTTTTTGCTTATTAAAACACCACATAATAATGAAATAGATACAAACAAACATAAATACAGTAGAAATAAACCCAGTTTCTTGTTTTCAAAAAAATATTGATATCTTTTTGGATCCAGTTAGAAAAATAAAGTCTGGTTCCAGATTTCTCCTCAGCACCCGGCATGGATTTGTTAAGTTCCCTCAAAACCACACCTGATTTACTTTAATAAAGGATTGATTATGTAATGCAGGTATTGGATGATAACTCAAGTAATACTGGGCTACTTTGAGGAATTTTTTGTATTATGGTTATGGTATTTAAATTTCTTCTAATATTAGTGTTTGTCTGATAAATAAATAAATAGCCTTTTGCACAGTACTGTATACAGAGACATACACATGTATATGTAAGTAAGCATGTAGTGGCGTCATCACTGACGCCGTGGATTGGTGGAGCTGAGCCAGATCACACACACACCCACACACACTCACACAATCACACACCCCACCCCCCTCCACACACAGGCACACGTGATCTGTCTTTCTGGGAATATTCCTGGAAAGTGGTGTGCTGCCTGAGTACAAGGGAAACGCTGTAAAAAATAAATGTGGGACACCGCTGAGTGGAATCAACAGCAGATCCTTCATCAGCAAAGAACCGAGCACAGCATATACAAGCGCAGAGATTATGGCCTGTTGTTTAAAGGCTATAAAAGAGTAAAATAGTGAGCTGTTGTTGGAAACAGGGAACGGGAGCTTCCTACTCTGCCCTGCCCGCCTGCCTGCCTGCTGGGTTTGATGAATGTGGTTTTAGGGAATTCATTCGGGACAGAGTTCCAATTAAGGATTCTGGATTTTGAAATGGGACAGATCTCCAATTAGAGTATTTTGGAAATTGGTCTGGAAACTAATGCACACCTGGAAAAACCCCACTGGGATTTAGTTAATACAGCTGCTTCACTCAGCGGATCTGTACGTGTGACATACATTTTTTCATGTCTGGATCTTCAGCAATGGAGAATTAACACTGCAGAAAGACCAAAGGTGCTGATACGAGTCTATACGGGTGAAATTTTGGGTCCGTTCCCAGAAACATTAAGCTGGAAAGGTAAGAAAAGGTTTATTTTTATGTTTGCAGCACAAACCAGATATAATATAACACAGTATACGGCATTGTAGGGTCTCAGAAGCTGATTAAGCCTAGTTATGGGCTAAACTACAATATCACTGGTTAAAAATGCCCCAAAAATACCATTTAATCTAGGTTTGGTCTTAATCTGGGTCTAGGAAACCAGCCCTTTTCCCTTAGCATAAGGGCCACAGTTATGCAAATAAGACATTTTACATAAAGTTTGAACCTACAAGATATGACACATAAAAGCACTGTTAAAATGAGTTAGGAGTTTTGTTCTCATAATCTTTTGTCTCTTTTGTCAACTTAGATTCACTACGTTGTTCAACAGAGTCAGATTTTAAGCCAGCCAGGCCACGTACTTTGTTTTTTTTCAGGTTTAAACAACAGAAAATCACATTTACAGTAAAAAGAAGATGCACAAACAGGATTTTATGGTTGAAATAGACAGAAAAGGGAAAGATAGAGACAGGAACACAGGTTACTTTGAACAAATACCATGATTAACATGCATTTAAGGTAAGACAAATTAGTATTGATAATAAAATATTCAAAAATGGTTCATTTCAGACTATAGTGTCAATCTGCTCAATGGTCTTTGCATGTTTACATGTTTCCTGCATTAAACAGCTTTGGTAACCAGGAACTTTATTGTATTTGTTCATTTTTTTCCTCAAAATGAGTTAATATTGTACAAATAAAGTACCAGCAGCCTCCAGGTCTGACCAAATTTAATATGTTAACAATCTCAGAGCCCTTTTTGAAGAGCTATGAGGTGGTTTTGCAACAATTTGAAGACACATTTGACAGGGCCTCGCTTCATAAAAAGGTAAACAAATGGTTTTAACAGTCATGACCCAAAAACCTAAACCGGCTCACCCATCTTAAACCTCTTAGACCCGACTCGGCCCCATCCCGGCCTGGGTAGCCTTTCAGAGGCTTCAGCGACGTCCTGTTCCATGGCTGTTTTGCTGCACTCTTGTTTTTCTGCTTCCCAGTATCAGCTGCAGGATTCCTAGAACACGTCATAATTACTTTTTAACTCCACTGCTGGAGGCCGTGTGATGTATCACAGATAAAACCCAAGTTTTTGGGAAGTTTATCACCAACTAAATCAATGCTCCTTATCAAAGGCACTTTGTGTTTTATCACAGTTGACTTTATGCACACAAGGCATTGTGCTTTTTCAGTGCAGCCATCGGTAATACCTTCCAATTCAATTATCTGAGCTATATTCAAAGAAAAATGAAGCACTGTCCCAAAACTGGGATGATTGAATTACAGTATTCAGCCAGCTACTACCTTGAACTTGCTATCCATAAATTAAGAGGAGCTGTGAAATGTATGTATATATTTGCAGTAGGTGTTTATGTATTTTGATTTGCAGCACTGTGCAAAAGCCAGAGACCATCATTCATTTAACTTTCAGTCAAAACAGTCATTAGGCACAAGTTATTCAAAAAATGATTAAAAGCTACAGAGAAAATGAGACTCCCAACAGCCACCTGGAAGACCTGGTAGACACCAAAACTGTCCCCATCAAATAAACAGCACTTAAAGCTTTCGTCTTTGAGGGAGAGGAGAAAATCAAGCTGCTTCAGATCTGAAAACATCCACAGGTATTTCTGTCCATCCTTCCGCTGTGAGAAGACAACTCAGCGCTATGGGTCTGAAAGGATGTATAGTTGTCAAGAAGCCTCACTGAGAAAAGGAGACAGACACATCAAACAAAGAAGCTGAACAATGGACTGACCACCCCAGAGTCCAGACCTCAACATCACTGAATGTGTTTGATTACTTCAGAAAATGATCAACCAACTTCTAAGACTGAACTTTGGAGGTGTGTCTGCAGATTTCTTTGAGAAACTGAAAGTGAGTCGCCTGAAAAGAATGAAAGCTATAATAAAGATAAAGAGAGGACACACTAAATGCTGAAAGTGTTCATTTTTCGAGACTTCTGTGTTATTGTATGCTAAATATGTTCTTTTCTGACACTGAAAAGTATTAATTTATAGCCAATTTAATAGCAAATTATATACATGAAGGGTGGTCTCTGACATTTTGACAGTACTGCACATCAAAAATATTTCTGAAGGCTTCAAAGTGAAGACATCTCAAAAAGGGTGTACTATATTAAAATGCACCAAGGATTGTATTTTGCATTACCAAGTGAGTTAATAGCTGTGTTCAAAGTGTTCACTTAATAGGTGATTATGCAGGAAAGAAATTATTACAATAATACAAATTATACACTACTACTACACTACTACTACTACTACTAGAAATAATAATAATAACAACAACAATAATAATAATAATAATAATAATAGTAATAATAATAATAATTATTACTATTATTATTATAGCAGTAGTGGTAGTGTAAATGTATAGTGTTTTAAAACATGCATACAATTTAATCAAGATTTAATCAAGTAAACTACATCTAACAATACAGTCGTATGGGACTCTTATTTTGATAGCAGTGCCATAACTGTTGAGTTAAGTTGTTGCGAGGAAAGTGTTGGCAAAGTGGCTCGATTAATTCTCAGAGTATTCATTTTGATATTATCGTTCATTCCTGACTCACTGTATCTCCTGCTCTGTCCTGAATTTATCCACAAAGGCAGATTTAACTATCAGTCTAAATTATAATAGTTAGTTAGTTAGTTAGTTGTAGCTAAAGTAGCCATGCCCGCTCAGCACGTGCAGCATTTCCTCTGCATCAGGTTTTTATTTGAGTGGTTTCTTTTTCATGCAGAGCTCTGTTTTTGCTTTTAACGCTGTGAGCATCAGCTTAAGCTGATTTTATATCATTTATGCTGGTAACCAGCCACAGTGTCTGGTGGGTAAAGCAAATGTACCAGTCATATGTAATTACTGGGTCAACTAAACGTGATTAAAAAATAACTTAAAGGGGAATTCCACCCATTTTTCAAAATTACTGTACAGTTCAGTGGTTGAGATCCAACAACCAAAGTCATTCATAGTGGTTTGGTGTGAAATGTTTCATTGTAGAGAAACCTACCAGCTTGAATATTTTTACAGTGGTGGTGATAGGAACCAGGGGTCACCATGTCTACAACACAAATATAGCCATTTTACTATCCAAAACCACCAGTGAACCTACACATGTCTTCTGAGTATTTTTATGGAATGTTGATGTTGGTGGAATAGTGGAAGATCAGACAAAATAAGTCTTCTGGGGGGCTATTTTGCCTTGTACGTAGCTCTCTGCCATTAACATATTTAAAAATTAATATGTTTTGGTACAAATTTTTGGACATTTATAATAAAACAATGTCTCAGAAATTAAAACAGTGCATTCATACCATTTCAGGCAAAACCTTCTTCTGAGGGAGATTTTAGAGACATAAAATGCTTGACACATCTGGTTCCTACACTCTTAAAAAAGATGGTTCTTCAAGGGTTCTTCAGTAAAGAAAAAGGTTCTATATAGAACCATGAAAACTCGAGGAATCATTTGCATGCTTAAAAGATTCTTTGCATCGTGACATTGTTCTTCAGATTAATAGAGAACGGTTCTATATAGCACCAAAAAGGGCTCTTATATTGTTATAAGCTTGACATCATCACAATAGAAAAACACTTTTTAGTGTTATATAGAATATTTTCTTTACAAACTTCTCTTATTTCTAGATTTTGGATGGGGCACACACAGTGCATCTCCAGATCAGCAGGGACTGAACAGATTTTGGTACAGAGGGGCAACTGCGGGCTGGATGCTCCAGGCCAGCCGCTGCCCGAACCCCCCGGGCCCAGAGCGCTGCATGGCCAAGAAATCGTTCCCAACATTCAACCCGAGAAATCACACACCGCCGTCCAAGTGAAGGACCGCGAGCTGGAGCCAAATAGAGTGGAATCGTCAGAGCATGCCAAGAGATTGCAGAAAGCTATGACTCACCTTAATGAGTCTGGTGAGTACACAGTAAAAAATATGGGTGATTTTATGGGTTCGCAAAAGAGTGGCTGCATCCAAAACCACTGCTACATAGAGTACAGTGCAGACGTCAGAGAGCACCAGTCATTAATTCAATTTCCAGTTTAAGCAGCCATAAAGTACAAGTTATTCATGTTTCAGGAGATATTTCTGAGGAGATTAGATATAAAATAATCCATTTGTATAACAAACTAAACACTCAGACATCTGATATTAGATTTAGTCATTAAGGCTTCTGAGTGATTTATGTTGTGTGAAATATGTTTTCAGCTTTTTTTCCTGACACTGAAAAACTTGTGCTTAGACTGGAATTTAAATAAATGAAAGGGGGTCTCTGACTTCTGCACAGTACTGTACTCAGCCTGCAATGCACACCCATCATATACACTCTAAAAAAGATGGTTCTTCAAGGGTTCTTTATTAAAGAAAATAGTTCTCTATAGAACCATGAACACTCAAAGAACTCTTTCCATGATTAAATGATTTGCATCACTACATGGTTCTTCATATTGATGAAGAATGTGCTGTGGATGGTTCTATATAGAACCTTTTTGAAAAGGGTTCTATATAGCACCAAAAAGGGTTCTTCTGTGGTTACAATGTCAAGCCTGTAAAAATTGAGGAACCCTTTTCAAAAAGGTTCTGTATAGAACCATATAAAATACATTCTCCATCAATCAGATGAACTCATTCACGATGTGGATAACCCTATAATCATGCAAAAGGTTTGGTCAGTGTGCATAGTTCTATATAGAACCATTTTTTTTACTAAAGAACCCTTGAAGAACCATCATTTATAAGTGTGAAAATAACCTTTTTGGTGCTTTATAGAACCCTTTTCAAAAAGGCTCTATATAGAACCATATAAAATGCATTCTCTATCAGTCTGAAGAACCATTTCAAAGAACCATTGCAAAGAACCCTTTAATTGTGCAAAAGGTTATTTAAGTGTTAAGGGTTGTGTATTTCTTCTTCAAATTCTATAAAAACACCTCTTTGAGTTAAAGAGAATCCTATGTGTAAATATATATATATATATATATATATATATATATATATATATATATATATATATATATATATATATATGTATTTACATTAATTTTCTTCCACAAAGATTATGTATAATTACTGAATATAATTTTTCACTGAAGAAGTGAAGGAACTGTCTGATGAAAAGTAAAATATACTATTGTTTATATCTGTTTTGTTATATCACTTTCACAATGGTATTTTATCTCTGCAATCTTTTCCTCCTTCTAGTCCTCTGTGAAGCACTTTTTTGTAACTAAACAAAAAGTTCTATACAAATAAAGATGTTTAATAATTATTATTATTCTGCCAGTCAAGCGAGTGAAACATGAATAAAATGAATAAAGTAACATAGTTACATAGTTATACAGACTTGCTGTAGAATTTGCATATTTTAATTGAATGTTGTTAGTATTCAACTGAGAGGTTGAAAATGGACACCCGTAAGTGTCCATAAGGAGATGCCACCTGTCTGTGTGTGTAATTACAACTCAAGATATTAAAATTTTAACACTTTAAAACGTGTCTTGACCTTAGAATCAAAAATCATATCCAATCTGAAAATATATACAGTCTTATGAAAAAGTTTGGACACCCCTGGTCAAGCTGTTGTTCACTTCTGCACATTCTAATACACAATTACTCTTTACTTGCTGAATTTAACATACTGAGGGACAAATAAAGCATAAATTGTGGTCTATGCCATGTTTAATCATATTCTCTGTAGAGCATGTTTTTTTTTTTACTTATTTTCACTTAGAAAATCAACATACCGTCATTTTACCAGGGGTTTCTATGCGCCTGTAATTGTTCTGAAATGGTATTTCTCCAAAATAAGAGTGAAAGTGCTGTATAAATAAAGTTTTTATAATTAGTACTACCATGATTTTGACACTATTTATAGTGTTATAATTATTGGTTATTATTAGTATTATCTTATGATTATTATTGGTTTAAGGTGCTTTTAAGGTATTATGCTATTATTGGTTTATTAGTTTTATTAGATTATTAAATGGAGACTTTTATATAAGGTTTAATAAGGAGACTTTACTTTGCAGTCTATTTTTTATGAACTAAACTAATCTGTGTGATATATAATAATCAGAGCTCTGTGTATTAAAGACACTTTTGACATATAAAATATCAACAATGGACTGAATCTTAAACTCATCTTCAATCTGAAAATATGTATATTGTCACACCACTAATACTGAAATAATAAAACACATCATAATAGCATGCACTGCAAAGAAGCTCACTGTAAAATTGCAGTAAATTACTGGCTACTACTCTTGCAAAAATGACGGTTCTTCAGGGTTTTTTTAATAAAGGCAATAGTTCTGCTTAGAACCATTAGTTCTATATAGAGCCATTTAATGCTCAAACGGTTCTTTGCATGTGAAATGGTTCTTCAGATTGATGGAGGATGTGCTGTACATGGGTCTACATGGAACCTTTTTGAAAATAGTTTTATGTAGCACCAAAAAGGGTTCTGCTAATGTGACGATGTCAAGCTTGTAACAGTAGAAGAACTGCATTTGGTGCTATATACACTCTTGAAAAAGATGGTTCTTTAAGGGTTCTTTAGAAAACCACAAACACTCAAAGAATCCTTTGGCATGACTAAAGGGTTCTTTGCATTGTAACAGTTCTATAGATTGATGGAGAATAAGCTGTTGATGGTTCAATATAGAACCTTTATGAAAAGGGTTCTATATAGCACCCAAAAGGGTTCTTCTATTGTAACAATCTTGACATTATAACAATAAATGTGACCTTTTGGGAGGTATATAGAACTCTTTTCAAAAAGGTTCTATATAGAACCATCTACAATACATTCTGAATAACAATTTCATGATGCAAAGAACCCCTTTAATCATGCAAAGGGTTCTTTGAGTGTTCATGGTTCTTTATAGAACCATTTTCTTTACTAAAGAACCCTTAAGGGACCATCTTTTTTTAGATTGTAGAACGATTTTTCAAAACGATTCTATATAGAACCAGATACAACACATTCTCCATCCATCTGAAGAACCATTTCACCATGCAAAGAACCATTTAAGCATGAAATGGCTCCATATAGAACTTATGGCTTTAAACAGAGCCATTGCCTTTATTAAAGAACCCTTAAAGAACCATCTTTTTAAAGTGTTGTTTCATTACTTATTATTACTTACAGTATTTAACTGAACCATATTAACAGTAAGTGACAGTAAAATAACAGCTGTTTACTGTGACTCCACACTCACCTGCACCTCAACATTACCACAAAGTAGCTGCAATTCTGCACTGTAAAAATTGTTGTTTTCACTTTAAAAAGTTAGTGTTTTATGCAGTTAATTTTGGTGCCAAAGGTTTCAAATGAAATGATAAAATCTGCAAGCAAAATATTGAGTATCAAAATGTCCCTGGATTTTATTATTTTAGTTGAATCGTAACTCCATAGGCTGCTTTGAAATTTTGAGTTAAGTGAATTCCAAATAGTAAGTTAATAGAACGAGAATCTGTGTTTTAAGCTATTTCAACTCATTTGAAGTTCAAATAACTCAAAACTGTAAGGACACTAACTTTTTAAAGTTGAAACTCCCAATTTTTTCACAGTGATGATGTACATTTAAAGCAATAAGATGTAATTTTAATACTCTAAAGCAATAAGATGTAATTTTAATACTCTAATCTCTTATTTTTACAGAGCAGCTATAAAAGTATTGCAGCTCAGTAGCCAGAAATTTACTGAAAATTTACATATGATAATTGATTTTTTTTTTCAGACCTCTAAATATGTGCATTATTTTACAATTTAATCTTTTTGTTTTTACTCTTTTGCAAAGTTTGAAAACCACAGTTAACCTGTACTTTGTGTTGAAATTTCAAGGTAAAATGACCAACAAAAATGGACCAACTTGAAAAAAAGCTTTTTACATGAACCTCTATTATAAGTTAATGTCCTTTAATGTTACCATTTTCCGTAGATAAAAGGTTTTGTTCGAACAGCAACAATATTTGTTGAACATGTTTTTACACTGTGTATGTACAGAAAGTCTCAAGAAAACATTTTTTACATGACAATACACATTTCACAGACCTTTTAACTTTAATTATAATTTGAACAAACATGACCAAAAACTGGCAACCAATAAACATTTTTTTATCAGTGTTCGATATTTAAACAATCCGTAAAAAGCCAGTATAGCTTTTTATGACTGAATAAAAACAATGTTTTGATCAAAATGTTTATGCCTTTTTTTAATTACCAGTTGTCCAGTTTAACGTTAATCTCAGTAATTTGCTGTGTTATTACAGAAAACATGTTAAGATGAGTAGATTTCACAGTAAAATGTCAAATACGGTATTTTACTGTAAAGATACTGTTGAATGTTGAAAATTTCTGGCCTTATTTTACAGTGTGGACATGAATTTATTTCCTGTTTTCCTCCTTTCAGGCTGGTACTGGGGATCCATAACAGCTGCGGAGGCCAAAGAGCTTCTGAACGGGGCTCTGGATGGGGCGTTTCTGCTGCGGGACAGCTCCAACCCGGGTTATCTTCTCACCTTGTCCGTCAAAACCTCTCTGGGCACCACCCACTTGCGTGTAGAGTATTCAGGTGGACAGTTTGGCTTTGATTCCATGGTGATGGCTCGTCCTCACCTGCGGCAGTTTAAAGGTGCGGTGGACCTGGTGCAGTATTACGCTCTGGCTTACCAGCGGCAGGCCGCTCACGGGGAGCCAGAGATGGACTGTAGAGTGCAGGACACTCCCGCACCCCAGGCAGCCTCAGAAACCACCCTGCAGCTGAAACTGACCAGGCCACGCCACAAAACGACCCGCAGTTTACAGCACTTGTGCCGAGTGGTCATAAATCAGCATTCGCGAAACCACAGAGATTTACCTTTGCCTGAGAGACTCAAAGACTTTCTGCTGGAATACCCTTTTGTACTGTAGACTCGAAACTGAAAATCTGACTTCATTCTAATGTGTAGCTCATTTCTACACAAATAAAATATCTCACATTCGCACTATTATTGCCAAATAGAAGATAACTGAACTTAGTAATATGATGTAGGAAATGGTGCACGCATTCAAATCATGCAAATTCAGTACAGTGACACAAAAGGCATTAGACACACTATGGTGTTAAAGGAGAACTCCATCAGTTTTTCAAACTTTTGACGTAATTCAGTGGTAAACAGAGTCATTCAGAGGGGTTTGATGTGAAATGGTTCAGACGTCTTTACAGTGGTGGTGATAGGAACCAGGGGTCATCATGACTACAACACAAATATAGACATTTTATTTACTATCCAAAACCACCAGTGAACCTACACGAGTCTTTTGAGTTTTATATGGAAAGTTGATGTTGGTACAATAATGGAAAATCTGAGAAAATACATTTTTAATGTACTATTGTGTCCTGCACATATTTTTGCCAATTGATTTTAAAAAGCAAAATTTTAGGCCAAACTATAACAAAACAATTTCTCAAGCATCAAACATTGTATTCATAATCATTTCATGTAAAAACTTGCTGTGAAGGAGCTTTTAGAGGTGGATGTGAACCTAGTGAACCTACATATGTCTGCTCAGTTTTATATGGAATGTTGATGATAAAATAGTGGAAAATCTGAAAAAAATTCTTTGGGGACTATTTTCCTTGCAGGTACCTTTCTGCCATGAATGGATTTAAAAAAAATTGTTTTAGGCCAAAGGTTTTATCTTAAAACTATTGTAAAACAACAATAACTTTCTGTGAGGGAGCTTTTAGAGGTGGACGTCTGGTTCCTCTCACCACCACTGTGAACAATTCTGACTCAGTAAGTTTCTCTAGAACAGAACATTTCACACCAAACCACTCTGAATGACTCTATTTACATCTTACACCATTCAATTATGCATTTGTTTGACAGAATCTGAGCTATGAAAGCAAACACAATCATTTTTCATCACACTTAGACTAACAAGCTTGACGCAAACAACACATTTAATCAAGGTGCAAATTGGCTCTATTGAGTTTACTGTCACTCGAGTCAGATCTGTTTCTTGTGTTAAGTCGGGGGTCCGCTGCTTTACTGTGTCAGCTTGTCATCATATGCTCAGAGCATCAGCATGGCCAAAAAGGAAAAGACCAGATTCCGTGTGTTTATTGTTCAAGGCAAAGATGAGATATGTATCAGATATCTGTAAACAAGCAGGTTTAACATCTTCTGTTAACAGCCGCTTCAGAGAACTCCGCTTTACTCAGGTCTGACGTTTTTTGGAAACTTAAACAAACAAATAAATAAACATACTGTCAGCAAGGAAGGAAACTAGCATGCAGAATGACCTGAAATATGGAAACTTCCACTATAATGACATGAAACTGGAAAGTCAGCACTGTTTCCACTCACTGTGCTTTTATTTATAGAGGCCAAATCTAAATACAAGTATTGCTACTTATTACCTGAATTAATGCCTCAAGCACAAAAATGAAGGTGCCAAGTTCAAGGAACCTTAAAGGATGGTTTTTTGGAGAACAATTTTTGATAAGACGATGTGTGAGAAACCTTTAAAGAACCCCCACATGGTGTAAGGATTCTAGGAAAAATCCTTATAGGGGAAATTCAAAGTTTCTCTATAATTAAACAGTTAAGATGTAAGCAAAGTTATTCAGAGTGGTTTGGTGTGAAATGCTCTGCTATAGAGAAACATACTGAGTCAGAATTGTTCACAGTGGTGGTGATAGGAACAAGACATCCACCTCTAAAAGCTCCCTCACAGAAAGTCATTACATGAAATGGTTATGAATACACCGCCTGATGCCTGAGATGTTGTTTTACATCAGTTTTTTAGAAGACTTTGGCCTAAATGTGTTTTATTTTAGCCAGAGAGGTAGAAGTGGGCAAAATAGTCTTCAAAAAACATATTTTTTTCAGATTTAAAACTATTTTACCATCATCAACATTACAAATAAAACTCAGAAGGCATTCACTGGTCGTTTTGTATTGCAAATGTAATGGCTGCATTATATGGCTATATTAGACATGGCAGCCCTGGTTTCTATCACCACCACTGTAAAGAAATCTGAGTCTCTACAATCAACCATTTCACACCGAACCACTCTGAATCACTTTGTTCACATCTCCATGACTGAACTTTGCAAAAATGTGGAAAAAATAAGTGGAATTCCTCCTTAAATTCATTAAGAACCTTTCTTATGTTGAAGATTCACACTTACAAATTTCAAACTTCTTTTTCTTTTGTGCCATCACTCAAAAAACCCTTTTGAACACCTTTTTTAACCCTTTAAATGTTCAAGTTTTGTTTCACACTTCTATAAGCTAACAATAGCTCAGCTAGTTTGCATTTAGGTCCCTGTAGTTACTGAACAATAAGCCTTAGCATGTAATAAGACTGGGATTTTAAAAGGTTAATAGTGGAACTACAAAAAAAAACAAAAAACAAAACAACTTTGAGTACAAAGGTTTGAGGTCCAGAAGTCTTCCAATACTGAGTATCTTCTAGAACTACAGTGGAACTTTTCAGTCCATTCAGCATCTATCAGTATAGGACAGGGGTCGGCAACCCAAATGTTAAACAAAACCATTTAATCCTTTCAGCAAAAATCAAACCATCTTGGGATCCACAACATTTTATGTCCATTTTACCATCTTGGCTGTAAATATTTTTCAGTATGTGCTAATTTACTAGTATAGACTAAAAATATAATGTAAACAAAAATGCAGACTTTGCTCTGCTTTAAGCTTTAGCTCAGTTACAGCTGCATTTCTCGCATCTCCAGCAGGAAACTTTACCACAAAAGTAGAACAGTTTCTTGTAAAATGTTTCTAAATGTTCGCTTTATAAGGCTGAAGTCGCTTCTCATTCTCCAGCTTCTTGTTCCAAATTTCCCGTTCCCCCTTAAATGGTGCCTGAGATGCCAGAACGTAACTGCTGCACCATTTAAGGTGGAATGGGAGAATTTGAACAAGAAGCTGACTTCAGTTTCGTGACTTTTTAGTGTTTGAGAGTTTCTCGTTGCAGATTAAATGTATCAGGAAACCAGCTGGAGTGATTCTAAACGCAAAACGTCTCCAAATGATCAATGTTCATCTTAAATCTTACTCTTTGCCATTCCATTAGCTACTAGCTAGGCAAGATTGTTGTCTGTGTTGCTATGGTGACCAGCAGTCTGCACACCAACCTTTGTTAAAAGGGTTAAAAGGTGAATTAGCAGTTCTACATTAACTCCAGCGATTAAGACCATTTATTGTTAAAACTGTGTTGAACGATCAGCAGAGCTTTATTTTACTGCAAAGGAGGATTATTTTATTTTTACCTAAAAACCTAATTCTGCTGTGGAGCCACAACAGGGCAGTAAAAGAATCACATGTTACCGACCCCTGGTATAGGAACGGAAGTTTGTTGGACTCTATTCTTCTTCTAAAATGCTAAACTTCAAAATAAGAGGAGTAAAGTAGTAAAGCAGAACAGGAGCTGAATCAACACAACAGAATGAAATTAAACCCTAAAAACAAGAATTTGGAAGTAATCGTTAAGGACTGCAGTGCAACTGGACTAATGAGGTATAAGTTGGAGAAAATCTTCTGAAAAGCTTGATCACAAGTTATCTGTCCTAATTTCACTCTAGTATTACAAAGGAAAGAATCATGTTTGCATTGATTTGGACATTTGATTTGTGCTACCTTCTCAATTTATTCTGGACGTACATGCTGACCCATTCTGACTGTTTGAACCACACGCTCCGCCTAATTCAAATAAGTTCTTTCACAAGGACTTTTATCTTTTGGTCCTGCCCACTTTTTTGCCTTAACATTTTTAGCCATACAAGCGTCGATCTGTCTGCTTTCCGTGTGGGTTAGATTCTGTATAACTGACTGAAAGGCCAAATCCAGCTGCACATTTGCTTGCTTGTGACTGTGTGACACAAAGAGAGAGTCAACTCCTCCATTTTAATTCAATTTCAGTACAATTTCCGTTGTACCAATATAGTCATTATTTTGAGGAATGGACTGAAGTGTAAGCTGAAAACAGTACTGCAAAAGTCAGAGACCACTTTTTTTTGTTTTTCAGTGTCAAGTAGAAATATAATACAATAAAAATATAATATCAAATAGTTTGTCAACTCTTTACCTTTATTACAGTTTCTGTTATTTTCAGGAGACTCGCTTTCAGTTCCCCAAAGAAATCTGCAGACAAACCTCCAAAGTTCAGTCTTAGAAACTGGTTGATTATTTTCTGAAGTAATCAAACACATTCAGTGATGTTGAGGTCTGGACTCTGGGGTGGTCAGGCCATTGTTCAGCTTCTTTGTTTGATGTGTCTGTGTCCTTTTCTCAGTGAGGCTTCTTGACAGCTACACATCCTTTCAGACCCATAGCGCTGAGGTGTCTTCTCACAGTGGAAGGATGGAAAGAAATACCTGTGGATGTTTTCAGATCTGAAGCAGCTTGATTTTCTCCTCTCTCTCAAAGATGAAAGCTTTAAGTGCTGTTTATCTGATGGGCACAGATGTGGTGTCTACCAGGTCTTCCAGGTGGTTGTTAGGAGTCCCATTTTCTCTGCAGTGACTTGTAGTCATTTTTTGAAACTCTTGCTTTGTCACTTATTCGCCTTTGCCTTTGTCCTTCCCAATGCAAGTGGATTATCTCTAAAAAGTGATATGTTAAATAACAACCCACTTATGTTACCCATTTTAGCACTTTTTGTGTCATATTGTTTTCTGATTTAACACATTCTGTGTCAACAGTAACTCAGAATGTGACATCTCCAACTGAACACACTGATGTGTCTAGTTAATTAATAACTTGCACTTACTGGAAATTAAATAAGGGAAGGGTCTTTGACTTTTGCACAGTACTGTATGACTGCAAATCTTTTGCATAGTAGGAGAACTTTTTCTTCTTTTTAACTCCTTCTTAATGACTCGTACAGTTTTGAAGCATATGAATGCTTTTATTAATACAAAATATCAAACAATGGAGGGTTTGGATTTACCACTTTGTATTTTAGTTTGTTGTTTTATTTCAAAATGTCACAAATGGCTTGCTGTATGTGATGAGATTTACTGTTGTAGCCATTTGTTTTGAGCTTATTTTTTATTGTAACACCATTTCACTATTTTGATAAATAAAAATGATCATTTTATTGTATAAAAGCAGCTACAAGTGTGTTTTTGAGTTCATGCACTCGGCCTGTTGGAGTAAATTAGGGAGTGGCACACTGGAGAGATTTCACATTGCACACTGTGTTCCATGTATCATGTACGCTATCATTACAGAGCATTTTTGTGTTCTGGCAAAGTGACAGTTTTGTTTCACTGCGTACCAGTGATGATTTGGGTAAAGGTGGGGGGCTGACAGAGGGGCTGCACTGTCAGATAAACAAGATACTGTACAGGCATATTTTGCTCATAAAGGTCCTAACAATGTAAATTTATAAATAACATGGTCCATAAGATGGAAAATCACTTTTTTAATAAAGGAATTGGATGTAGTGTGTAAAACATTAAAGTTTTATAACATACAGGCTATAAATGGAAACTAAGCTGCAAAAACAGCTCATTTTGATTTTCTTTTGTTTTTCTGATGTCACAAACAACAACACATTTGCATATATCCACTTT